ACACGGTGAAACCCCGTCGCTACTAAAAATACAAAAAATTAGCCGCGCGTGGTGGTGGGTGCCTGTAGTCCCAGCTTCTAGGGAGGCTGAGGCAGGAGAAGGGCATGAACCCGGGAGACAGAGCTTGCAGCGAGCCGAGATCACACCACTGCACTCCAGCAAGGGTGATAGAGCGAGATTCTGTCTCAAAAAAAAAAAAAAAAAAAAAGGAAATTCCTCACTTTTTTAATGTGATACCACTCTCTGCTCCCAAGTTAATCCGTGTTTGGGCCTGTGGGAACTTACACCATTCTCCTATATGTAATTAATAACTGATGTCTGGTTTTTCTGTTTAGTAGGAGATGTTATGTGTTTAACGGTGCCAGTAAAAGTAGGGTGCGAATTCCTTCCTCACCAGTGGGGTGCATGAGACGGTATTGAAACAATTGACAACACAAATGGAATGGACCAGCCCTCATGAAGGACACCTGCTCAACTTGACCTACCTGCTGTCGGCTGATGGTTCCGTAACACATCAGCAGTCACCTGAGTCAGAACCGTGAGCTGATGATGGGCCTTCCGTTTGGTCTGCACAGTGTTTTGTTTTCTTCAGGTGTTGTCATCTTCTCCCACACTAAAACGCTCTCATCTCCTAGACATGAATGTTTAATTGCACCCCAGCATGACATTTGACCTGTGCTTAGCAGGCGGTTTTGAGGCCCTGGCTTATTAATGCACGGAAGCACAGCACATAAGCCGACACTTATGTCCTAATTAGCAAGAATCCGGCTGTATCTCTGTAGTCCCTGCATCTACTCTGGTCACCATCTCTGTATGCTGAGGGCAGCCATGTGAACATTATTAATTATTGTACACTCCAATCAATAGTTATTATGTAGGCAGAAGTAGTGGCCTTGTTTGTTTCTTGTGCTGCTGCTCCCCTTGCCGCTGTCCCCTACACCCTCCTGATCAGGTGTACATCCATGGTGCCTCATGGTTCAGTCACTGATGAGTAATGAAAATGGGAAGAAAGAGTTTGATATTAGCCACTATCGAAGCATATGAAGAAGCATCTCAGCTGCTTGCATTGAAAAATTCCTAGCCAGTGTGTGGGCTTTTCTTATCACTGCTGCTTATCAGCATGTCAAAAGTTGAATCTTCGGACTGCAAGTCTTGCTGGCCTTAGACATAATGGCCTTACTGCATGTGGAGCTAACCCCAGGAAGATGGAGTGACAGTCTCTGGAGGATTAGGTGGTCTCCTCCAATGTGGCTTGATGGGCTCCTGAACTCTTTCCTGTAACTATACAGAGAGTCTACACTGCCAGCGATCGTGTGCCTCAACTCTGTAGATGTAGAAATTAAAAATATTCAAAATATTCTGAAACAGTTTCCATTGAAAGGAAAGAGAAAAGCAGTCAGGTGCCACGCTCTGGTCAAGAGAACTAGTAGATGGCTCACAAGAACACTCTGTCGCTACTGTCTGTGCCTCTGTCACAACAAATATCCTGATCCTTCAGTTTGAAGGGTGCAGGGCCATTTTCCTCCTTTCCTACTGGTAGTTCTCAAGATAACTGTATGATATGCTGGGAATGCAATATCCTGATAATCTGGTGACATTGGTCAGAACAGCCCAGGCTCTGTTAGAGTCCCTGCTCGAAACAGAACGGCCTTTAACGCTTGTGTCCAGCAAACCACATCGTAGGAGAAAACCCAAGATGAGCTGCTTTCTGGGGTCCCTCAGTTGTAGTGCAAGTGAAGCATTTACAGTCAAAACTCCATCCATCTGCTCTGGATAGCCTTCCTGATCTTGTGGTAGCGGTTCATATTGAATCCTGGACTTCTGTTGTCTTTTGTTTGCTATTTGTAAGTAATAAATTCACTTCATGGAATTTACGTATGAATGTGTTTGGTCTCATTGTACTCAGAAAAGTTGATAGCCATTGCACAGTGAACCCGCTTCATAATTGGTGAAAACACCTATGGCCCCCTTGTGCCACAGCAAGGAGGTTAATTCAGCCAAACATAAACTTCATGTTCGAAAAACCCTGTAGCACAATTATTACCATGTGGGAGGCCTTTAACAATGGTGATGCTGATTTGAAGAACTCTGAAAGAAGAAATTTACACAAATGGATTGGGTACACAGGAGTCCCTCCTAACTTAAAGCAAACCTTGCTCCCCTCTGCCTAAAAAGAGTGGAGAGGCCAAGCACGGTGGCTCAGGCCTGTAATCCGAGTACTCTGGGAGGCTGAGGGGGGCAGATCACAAGGTCAGGGGTTCAAGACCAGCCTGACCAACATGGGGAAGCCACATCTCTATTAAAATACAAAAAGTAGCCACGCATGGTGGTGGGCACCTGTAATCCCAGTCACTTGGGAGGCTGATGCAGGAGAATTGCTGAACTTGGGAGGGGAGGTTGAAGTGAGTCAAGACCATGCACTGCACTCCAGCCTGGGTGACAGGGCAAGACTCCGTCTCAGGGGGGGAAAAAAAAGTGGATAAGAACTGAAACAGGTTTAAAATTTCACCTAATTGGAAATACAAAGTTTACAAAAATAATATTTCAAATAAAATGCTAAATGAGTGCTCATTGAATTTTATGCCTCCACAAAGTAGGTTGTGAATTAACTTCCACATCTGTTGAAAGCCACCAAAGTTGGGCAGCCTCCGTGTCTGAAATTCACATGTGGCTCAAATAAGAATTATACCTGGGGATACCCAAAGTTTAAATATGGTATCCACTGTGATATTATGAGGAATTACTGTACATAAAACAGGTTGTCTTCCTTAAATCTGAAATAATATTATCTTGCCTAAATTCTCCAAAACGCATCGCTCTGCAGTATCCTATAATGGACATAGGTTTCCTGACCAATGAGCAGTAAAAGTAAGTGTGTGCGACTCACCTATGTTCTTATCAAAATGGAAATCCCGAATCCCACCAGTTAGAACAACATGACAGAATGTCAGATTTTTGGAATATATAGGTTTTCTGTAAGGTTATTAGGTACTGATTCCATTTTTAAAATAGATATCAATATATTTAGATGACCTATTTCTCCTGTGTTTTAGTATCAATAGGTTGTGTCTTTTAATTCATTCAGTTGGTCTAAGTTATAACTTTGGGTTATGGAATTGTAATATTCTTTATTATTTTATCATCCATGGGCTTCTAATATAAAGGCCTCTTTTAATTCTTCTATTATTAGGTTGGTGCCAAAGTAATTGTGGTTTTGGACCGTGAATTTTAAATTTTTATAATTAGACTGCAACATATCTTTATTAATCAAAATAGAACCCATTACAATGGACTGGGCACAGTGGCTCACGCCTGTAATCCCAGCACTTTGGGAGGCTGAGGCGGGCGGATCAGGAGGTCAGGAGTTTGAGACCAGCCTGACCAACATGGTGAAATCCCCTCTCTACTAAAAATACAAAAAGTAACCGGGCGCGGTGGCATGTGCCTGTAATCCCAGCTACTCAAGAGGCTGAGGCAGGAGAATCTCTTGAACCCAGGAGGCAGAGGTTACAGTGAGCTGAGATTGCACCTTTGCACTCTGGCCTGGGCGACAGAGTGAGACTAGGTCTTTAAAAAAAAAAAAAAAGAAAAAAAAGAAACCATTACATTGAACACATTTTTGCCAAAGAGAAATAAACTTGTTTATTCCATGCTTTCAGGGTTCGATGAACTCTTGGAAAGCATTTTCTGCACCCTGCTGGTTGTGTAAGTGTTTTCCCTGCAAAAAGTTGTCAAGATGCTTAAAGAAGTGGTAGTTGGTTGGCGAGAGGTCAGATGAATATGCAGATGAGACAAAACTTCACAGCCCAGTTTATTCAACTTTTGAAGTCCTGGTTGTATGACAGTGGTCACGCGTTGTGGAGAACGGTCCCTTCATGTTGACCAGTGCCAGCTCCAGGTGCTGCAGTTTTCCATGCATCTCATCGATTAACTTGGCATACTTCTCAGATGTAATGATTTCACCAGGATTCAAAAAGTGTAGTGGATCAGAAGACCGGCAGCTGACCACCAAACCGTGACCATGACCTTTTTTTGGTACAAGTTTGACTTTGGGAAGTGGTTTGGAGCTTCTTCTCAGTCCAACCAGTGAGCTGGCTGTTGGATGAAATCCACTTTTCGTGGCATGTCACAATCTGATCAAGAAATGGTTCAATGTTGTTTCATAGAACAAGAGAAGATGACACTTCAAAAGGATGATTTTTAAAATATTTGCTCAGCTCATGAGGCACCCACTTATCAAGATTTTTCAGCTTTCCAATTGGCTTCAAAAGCTGGATGACCATAGAATGGTCGACATTCAGTTCTTCGCCAACTTCGCGGGTATGTGTAAGAGGATCGAATTCAGTGGTTGCTCTCAATTGGTCGTTATCAACTTCTGGCCCAGAGCCTGGGGCTGAGGCTGCCATGACCACCCTGTTCTCTTCCTTCTGGGGTCCCCAGGAAGCTCCCAGGACTGAATGATCCCCATAAAACACAGTGTACAGGATGGGAGGGCTGGAGGTCAATTACGCCCACACCTACCACCACAACCAAGAGGCCCCCATAGAGGTTGGCCCTGAGCTGTGTGTCCCTGTGGGATGCAGGCTCCCACGGATACCTCAGGGGATGAGCATGGGTCCTCCTGGCTGACAGAGCCTGGTGGGCACTGGGTGTGTGGGGCCTGTGTAGGTAGGTTGGACAGCACTGGGCCTAGCCAGGGAGCCAGGGACTGGTGTGGCCAAGTTGGGCAACAATATGTTGCCAGAACCGAAACTACAGTGCAATCAGCCCAGCTGGTAGGGAGAAGGAGGCCTGCCTGCCTAGCAGGACCATCCACCCCTGTACTGGCCCCAAGTCCAGACTGCCTGCCTGTACTGGACATTGCCTTGTCCAGGAGGCCTGGGCATGATGGTCAGGTGGTATGTCCCTGGGTTCCAGGCCTTGGTGGTCCCTTGGGAGCTGAGCATCCTCTGGGCAGGAGGAGGGCCCGCGGTCCACTGTTTGCATCGGCCCCTGGGGGTATGACCCCACCCCAGCTTCTCAGTGCACATGGGGACGTGGCCAGGGCTCCTCACCTGCTCTGTGGCTCCAGCTCTGAGCAGCTCATTGGGTGACTCTGACAGCTTCCTCCCCAAAGCTTGGGTCCTCATCTGTGGGAATGGGGTGTCCCAGGCCCCCTGCAGGCAGGAACCCACCCCCAGCTCCTCTGGTGGGCCCTCCTGGGCTTTCTTACCTACTGGCTTGTGAGACCCGGTTGGCCAAACTTGGTGTCCTATTTTTATTTTGGCCTTTTTGTTAGTGTGTGTTTTCTGTAACTACTGCTGTGTAGATCTTCTATTTGAGTTTTAGGTAGAGAATCTTGCCCACCCAGAGGGCCCCCACCCCAGAGAGCCTCCACTTCGTGCCCCCACCCCCCGGGCTGGTCCTGCCTGTGCTCCGCTTGGTGTGAATGTTAAGTGTGATGGATCCACACGGCTGCTTGACCCTGCATCTCCTTCCTTCTTCTTGCTGAGGCCGGTTCTGTTCTCTCTTTCTCCACCTGAACTGCACTTGAAGCCAAGATGAAGGATGAGAAGTGGTTGCTACGAAGGACCCTCCTGCAGTGGATCTGCTGTGAGGAGGCTGTGCTGGCCCAGCCTGTCATTTCCTTCTCTAAGCTCATTCCAGAGGTTGGCAAGGGGCGGCCTGTCCCCGCCTGCTCTTGTCGCCTGTGAATCAAGAATGGATTTTACATTTCCAACTGGTTGAACAAATAAAAAAATAACACTTCATGACACTGAGAAGTTTCCATGTCCATAAGTAAAGTTTGATGGGGGTGCAGTCATGCCCATCTCTTCACAGGCCACCTGCAGAAGGCTGCTGTTGTGCAGCCATGGCAGAGTTGCATCCTTGAGGCAAAGGTCAGTTGGCAAAGCTGAAAATACTGACTCCTAGCTCTTTAGGGAAACAGTTTCCAGTCCCTGGTTTAAGGGTTGTGTGGCAGAACCCCAGGATCTTGGTCAGCTTGTTCCTCACTCAGGGCCTGCTGTGGCCTTCGCTAGTATGTCTGCAAAGTCTGTGTGTTATGGTGCCTCTCATGGGGCGTTGAGCTCTGTCGTGCTAGATTTCAGGGTATCTGCCTCATAGTCACCTGTCTCACCAACAGAGACCCTGTGGCCAGATTGAAACTAGTAGGAACTGTTGGTCTTTGGCAGCAAGGATACCTTAGAGCTGAGCTTCCACCCACCCTGAGGTGGTCCCATGACACTCAATGTCTGGGTCAAGTTTGGGGCAGGGCTGGTGTCCTGAACTGCCCTGCGATGTGGATCGTAATAGCCAGTGGGGAGAGGGGGATGCTATTACTCCCCCATATCCCTCCCTGCAATGTGTGTCCATTCTTAGCAGTCTCTTTTTTCAGGATATTAGAACAATTTCAAAGGTTGTGTGTAAACAGCCTGCGATAGGAGAACGAATACCATCCTCTGCACCTCCGGATATTAGGAACCATATCACACAATGAGTGTACACTTTTTGGGAGATTTGGGATAATGTCGTCCTGTGTTTCCCTGAATATTTGGAGAAATATCACAGGGTGGCAGTATACCCACTACTTCTTGGCTGGAACATCATACTTTACCTACTGGAAATTAGGAGCAGTATCACAGACTGGGTGTCAAGCCACTGTCATACTGGAAGTAATATCATGCTCTCCCCCACAAGTCATGAGGAACAATATCACAGCGGGTGTGTACCTTCTCCGGTAGTGGGAGTAGTATCATCATCTCTTCCTTTAGATGACAGGAACAATATCACAGGGTGGGTGTACAATCTGTGTGTTTTTGGAAGCAATGTCATTCTCTCTTCTTCTAGGTTTTACTACTCATATCACAGGTGGGGTGTACACTCCTTGTTATATTGGATGGAATCTCATCCTCTTTCAACCTGTAACTTTAGAACAATATCCATGGGGGTGTCCATCCCTTCAATATTGGTACTAATACCATCTTCTCCTTTCCTGGATATGAGAAACAATATCACAGGAGGGTGTACACCCCTTGCAATGTTGGTAGTAATATCACCTCTCCCCTGTTGTTATTGAGGACAAAATCCCAGGGTGGCTGTACGGTTCCTACTTTATTGGGAGTAATATCAACCACTCACCCCCTGGATATCAGGAACCATATCAGACAAGAGGTGTCCACCCCCTTCGATATTGTCAGCCATATCATCTTCTTCCCGTCTGCATATTAGGAATGATACCCCGGGCTGGGGCGGTGTACACCCCTGCGATATTGAAAGTAAAATCAGCCTCTTTCCCGCTAGATATTAGGAACTATATCACAGGTGTGTGTGCACCTTCTGGATATTGGTAGTACTCTCAGCCTCCACCTCGCTGCATATTAGGAACAATATACGGGGGCAGGGTGGTTACACGTCCTGCAATGTTGAGAGTAATATTCTTCCTTTCCCCTGTACATTAGGAACACATAACAGGGGTCTGTATGCCTTCTGTGATATTGGGATTAATGTTATCCTCTCCCCACTGAATGTCAAAAACAATATCACAAAAGGGTGTACACCCCCTGCGATATGGCCAGTAACATCATCGTATCTACCTTTGGATACTAGAAACAACATCACAGAGGGTGTGTATACTCCCCTGCGATATTGGGCATAATGTTATCCTCTCTTCCCCTGGATATTAGGAATGATATCCCTGGTGGTGGGAGTGGAGTACATTAAGAACAACATCACTGGGTGGGTGTACACCCCTGCGATATTGGGTGTAGTATCATCCTCTCTTCCGGATATTAAGAACAATAACACAGGAGGGGTGTACAGCCCCAGCCCCTGCGTTATTGGGAGCAATAGCATCTTCTCCCCCTCTCGATATAAGGAACAATATCCCAAGGTTGGTGTACATCCCCTGGGATATTGGGCGTAATGTCATCATCTCCCAAAGTGGATATTGGGCTAGTGTCACAGGGGGTGTACGCCTTCTTCGATATTGGGAGTAATATCATCCTCTCCCCTCAGGATCATAGGCAAAATATTGAAGGGGTTTCACCACTCTGTGATATGGTCAGTAATATCATCCTCTCCCCACCTAGATGTTAGGAACTATATTACAGGCGGTTGTACACTTCTTGGATATTGGGAGTCATATCATCCTCTCCACTCAGGATATAAGGAACAAGATACTGAAGGGATGGACACCCACTGTGATAGTTTCAATAATGTCATCCTCTATCCCCTGGCTATTAGGAATAACATCATAGAGGGGTGTACACTTTCTTCAATATTGGGAATAATATCATCCTCTCCCAGCTGGATATCAGGAACAAGTCTATTAATTATTAATATTAATAAATATAGTAAAAATTAATAGCAATCATCGATATTAATAATCACAATATAGTATAAATTAATACTGGTAAAAAATATTAACGATTAGTATAACAATTCATAATATCACTATTAACAATAAAATGATATCAGCAATTAATGTTACTTAAATCAATACTAAGTGATGTAGGTAATAAAATAATAATTAATATTAAGAACTAATAATATTGTTAAATGACATTAATATTACTAATTATTTTCAAGCGTCCATAATCATATATTTAAAATAATTATCCATAATTAATAATGGTATCCTATTAATAGTGTCATTGATAATTATTAAAATCGACATAGATGTTTAATAATTAATCATATTATTACTCCTAATACTGCAGGGGGTGTACACCTACCTGTGATGTTGTTCCTAATATCCAGGGACGGAGAGCATGATTTTAGTTTTAATATCATAGTAGGTGTGCACTCACCCTGTGCCACTGATGCTAATATCTAGGGGGTAGAGTATGACATGACTCCCAACATAGCAATGAATGGAAAGCCACCCAGTGATATTGCTCTTAATATTCACGAAGAAGCCTATGATATTACTCCCAATATCGCAGGGAGGGTACAGCTCTTCTGTGATATGGTTCCTAGTATCCAGAAGGGGAGAGGATGATAATAATTCCAGTATCGCAGGCTGTGTTCACCCGCCCTGTGATATTGTTATTTATATCCTGGAAGGGAGAGGATGATATGACTCCCCATAGAGCAGGAGGCATACACCCAGCCTGGGATATTGTTCCTAATATCCATGGAGAGGAGAGGCTGATATTACTTCCAATATGGCAGGGGTGTACATCCACCCTGTGATATTCTTCTTAATATTCCAAGGCCGAGAGGTTGATATTACTCCCAGTATCGCAGACACTGTACACCTCCGTGTGATACTCTTCCTGATATCCAGAACAGGAGAAGATGGTTTTAATGCCCATATCGCAGGAGGTGAACACCCACTCTGTGATATCTTTCCTATATGCAGGGGAGAGAGGATAATATTATTCCCAATATTGCAGAAGATGTACACATGTCCCCCGTGATATTGTCCTTAATAATCCAAGGCACAGATGATGATGTTACTCCCAATATCACAGAAAGTGTACACCCCCAGTGATGTTGTTCCTATGATCCAGGATGGGAGAGGATGATATTACTTTCAATATCGCAGGGGTGTACACGCCCCTGGTGATACTGTTCCTAATTTCCACCAGGGAGAGGATGATACTACTCCCAATATCACAGGGATTAAAAACATGGGGGTATACAGTGTCTGTGATACTAGGAGTAATATCAACCTCTCGGCCTTGGAATATAAAGAAGAATATCACAGGGTGGATGTACACCCCCTGCCACATTGGGAGTAATATCCTCTCCCTTCCAAGATATTAATAACAATGTCACAGGGCCGGTGAACACAGCCTGCAACACTGGAATTATTATCATCCTCTCCCCCTCCGGATATTAAGAATCATAACACAGAAGAGCTGTACCCTCCCTGCGATACTGGGAGTAATATCATACGCATATTCCGTGAATATTAGGAGCTATATCACCGGGTGGCTATCTATTCATTGCTATGTTGGGAGTCATGTCATACTCTACTACACTGAATATTAGTGTAGCATCACAGGGTGAGTGTACACTTATTGCGATATTAAAACTAAAACCATGCTCTCCCTCTCTGATATTAGGAAAGACATCACAGGTAGCTGTATACACACTGCAGTATTAAGAGTAATAATATGATTAATTATTAAACATCAATGACTGATTTTAACAATTATTGATGATACTAATAATTAATAGGATACCATTACTAATTATGGATAATTATTTTAAATATATGATTATGCATGCTTAAAATTAATTATTAATATTAATGTCACTTAGCAATGCTAGTAGTTCATAAAATTAATCATTATTTTATAACCAACATCACTTAGTATTGACTTAAGTAACATTAATTGCTGATATCATTATTTAATTACTAACAGTGATATTGCTATTATTAATACTAATCGTTAACATTTTTAACCAGTATTAATTTTTACTATCTTTATTATGATTATTATTATCGATGATTCCTATTAATTTCTATTATATTTAATAATAATAATAATTAACAGACTTGTTCCTGATATCGAGCTGCGGGAGGACGATGTCAGGTGGGGAAGCTTCGTGCAGGTTCCCCATGACAGGGGGGAAAGCAATGGAATCCAAATACTGGTCCTTACTTGGGAAGCCAAGAAGGCCACTGGGAGAATGGGAAGGTTGGCACATGAGGGAAGGTGCAGAGGTGGAAAGGGCATAAGAGTTCCATTTATTTATCACAAAACACAGAACAGGACTGGGCCAGAGACTGAATTCTTCCTGTCTCCTGGGGAAAACCGGATACATGGCCTGAACTTTTTCTCTTCTGCAGGCAACAAGACCCGCAGAGGAAGGCTCCCAAGACCTTTTCTGGGAAACCTTTAGAGAAGCCGCTGCCAAATCGAAAAGAATCCATGGAATCTTGGATTTATCTGAGGGTGAGTGTCACCATGGGTCCCTGTTCTTTGCTCCACTAGGTCACTCTGGTTGATTTTCTTTCAGGTTCTCGTGTGTGTGAGGGGATCGGGGAACCCTTCTTCCCTGCCTTCTTGGGGTCAGGGACTCCACGATCCTTCCAGGTCCATTTGATTCCAGGTGAAGGCATCTGAAGATGCCATATTTCCTGTTGCTTTCTTTCTGTGCAATGATGGCAAGCCTGTCAACAACATCTTCCTAGCAGCGTGAGGAAATTAGTCCCTCAGGGGCCCCAAACATGGAGGAGGCTCACCCTAGGAACATGCATGTTTTCAGAAAAGGCGTCCTGGGAACCCTTGAGCCACCAACCTGCCTTCAGAAGGGCATTAGTCCGTCCCACTTCATGGAAGGCTGAGTGGAGGCGCTTTGATCCAGTGAATGCCCAAGACACAGTCTTTAGAAAAATGGTATTCTTAGATCATAGCTCAAGAGTGCATTTTTCATGGGTCTTGTCCCGATCAGCACTCACGTTAAGGATCTGTTCCTACTTCCAAGGACCGCCTGTCCATACCGTATTAAGAATTTCCTGCTGTGTGCACCTTGTCTTTGGATGTGGTTGATTTCCATATTGGCTCCATGCTGACGAACTTCTAACGTGTGTGGTCTCCTTTCTTTCAGGTTGTAAGCAGGCCAATGCCGGTCCACACAACCAATAAGAGGCCACGCGTGGACCCTGCCCTCACTGATGGCTCAGCTACGAAAATGTCTGACACGGTATCCGTCTTGGCTTCACTGTCTCCCCTCAGAAAAGCCAGTCCGAGCTCCTCGTCAAGTCTCCGACCAAAGGAACGACAGACAGGGGCTGTGGCCGACATCCCTCAGCCTGGAGTCAGGCAGCAGGGCCCGGAGCCTCTCGTCGTGGTGAAGCCGACACACAGCAGGCCTCAGGGTGGCAGTCGAGAAGTTTCCCAGGCTGCCTCCAAGCCCCACGGCCTGATCCGGGTCATCAGCCCCCAGGCACAAGACAAACGTGCTGCGGTGACCTCACAGCCCTGCCCACCAGCCGACACACACAGCTTGGGCCTCGGCTCCAATCTCAGTTTCAGGCCAGGAGCCAAGAGAGCTGCCCAGACTCCGACTCAGGCTTGCCTGAACTTCCCCAAGAAACCGAGAATGGGTTCCTTCCAGATGCCCGAAAATGCCCTCCAGGGAGGTGAGCTGGGGGTCCCGGAGACTCTCCAACCTCCGCCAGCTGCAACCGAACTCAGACCAAGTCCGTCGCCCCAGATGAGCAGGGGGACACCCGCCCAGGTGCCCAGCACCAACCGGCAGCCTCTGCACAGCAGACCTTGCCTGCCTACTGCCCAGGCCTGCACCATGTCCCATCACCCAGCGGCCAGCCACGATGGGGCCCAGCCTCTCAGAATGCTCTTCTGGAGACTGGAAAACGGATGGTGGAGCTCCAGCCTCCTGACAGCTCCCTCGTTTCCCTCTCCTGAGAAGCCGGGAGCCTTCCTCGCTCACAGCCCTCATGTCTCAGAGAAGTCTGAGGCTCCCTGTGTTGCTGTCCCCCTGAGTGTCCTCTATGAGTACCTTCAGGTTTCCTCCTCAGAGAACAGCGATTCTGACCTGGAGTGAGACTACAGGTGGCCGGGGCTCCATTGCATCCAGCTCCCGTGATTTGGAGGGGTCTGTGGGACTGAGGAGCACAGAGCAGAGAGCAGACTGTGTGTGGTGACTCCCAAGCTCCCCGGCTGGGGTGCTTCTGTGGATGTTGGAGCCCAGGCCAGGCAGGGACCAGATGCAGAGACTCTGCCTCATCAAATTCTGGTGAGGGACATTGTAGTTCGCCGGGATCTCCGGAAACCCGCCACCAGAAGCTTCTGTGCCAGTGATTCGTTGCCTCAGAAACTGGGTGACGGTGACGCGCGGGATTCAGACTTCCGCTGTGATGTCAGTAGGAAACCGGGGAATGACTGTGTGTTTGCTCTCTAGATGACTGAATCAGGGAACAGTTAGGCAACCCTGAGAGATGCAGGCCTTCAGCTGTGCCCCGCCCTGACAGCAGTGTTTTGGACGCTGTGAAGCGTTCTGCGCAATGCGTTCTTGGGGTGTTTCCTCAGCCTCGAAAATTGGGCTCTGGAATGCCATTAGAAATAGGTGTGTTTAATTTGTTTTGAAGTGAATAAAATTCTCAAAAAAGATGACGTACTCTCTTTTGACTTTCATTCCGTGTTTGTGTGTAACTGATTTTCCAAGGGCTTGAAAATTTCTTGACTTGTCAGCAATCCAAGTCATTATGTCTCCGAAACAGAGTTGATTGAAGGGACCACAGGTCTTCGCAAGACCTGTGACTTCTTAAACATCCACAGGGGCAAGAGAACCTCAGCCCCACTCTACCAACACGCACCTAGTCAACTTCTGCCAAGTGAATCTCACGCACGCTAACACGTGGGGAGGGTTGCTTGCACCACGAGTTCCCATTTGGCTCACGGCGATGCCACGTGTCGGGTTTCACACGTATGTGTTGCACCGCAGTCCATTTCACAGTGGTAGAATAAATGTATTGGCTTTCTGTCGGTTTGTTGGAGGCAAAAACCTGTGATGTTCTTGGTTTTTGGTGGGAGAGTTTCACTCTGGAAAAGAAAATATTCTGAAAATGGAGGTTGTCCTAGATTGTATTTCAAGGTGAGTCTACTTGATGCCAGTGAAGCATATTTTGGCATATAATACATATGGTTGTATTATATTTTGTCTCTATTACCTCATTTTAAAAAACCATTTTGTGAAAAATGTCAGAGTTAGATATACCAATGTTAAATTTCTGATCACGTGTCCAGAAGCACTGGAAAATGCGGCCTAGAATGCAAAATTCCCAGCCACTTCTTTGTTGAACTCTCTGCAGAGCGGCATTACATCCAGGGGTTTTCAAGGTGCACTAGTGTGGCATGAGCTGGTCTTTGGCTTCCTGTTGTAGTTGGAATCGTGCAGATTGTTTAGGGGTGGTGTCTGCTTGTCCCATCTTTCCAAATCATCATTAACCTTTCCTCAGCACCCACATGGACTCAGAACTTACCTAGAGTCACAGGCAGGTCTGGGAAGCTGCCCTTGAGCCTTTGTGCAGTCCATGATGGTTCCATCCTCTGATCCGCTGGGGCACATTCTGCAGAGGGATAGGCTGGCATAAGCTGTCCCTACCTTTCTGAAAATCATGGAGATTCCTGGTACCTGAAGCCACATAGAAATATCTGTGGAGTCTCAGGCAGGCCATGGATGCCATTCACAGGCTCCTGTTCTTCCACTTAATGGCAGCAAGAGTGATTCCTGAATTTTCTAATTGACGTCAAAACATTTTGGTGACTTTGTTGTGTCAATGACCACTCCTGTTTCTGTGGCATCCAGTTCACCTGTAAGGTTTTTGGGGATTATGTGGAAATTCGTGCATTTTTTCAGAGCCTCACTTCATCCTGGATGCTCTCAGGCATGCACAAGCAGATTCCTGCCTTGGTGGCATCTTGGAGCATTGCAGGAGACCCCTTAGGTCTAGGAGGCACTAGGAGGTCCATCAGGAATTGGGAGGGCATGTGTCTGCCCATCTGTAGTGTGAACTTCTATTCACCTTCAGAATGCAGATTCTTCCTGAACTAATAAATTATCTTCATCTTGGTGTAAGTAGCCACAAAAGAATAATTCATACTAACTCCATTAATAAAAATAACTGAAAATCAACAATGAAGTTAATAATGACAATGTTAATTATTATAATATTGATAGTAATAATAAAACAAAGGCATTAGAGATTAGAGATTCCCTTAAGTGAAGGACAATGTGAAGATATAGGGATACATGAGTTGTTTGGACTCAGAGTCCAATGAAACATGTTCCTCAAAGGCAAAGACAAGAAGCATAAGGAAAATATAAAGTTCATGGATGACCACCTGGGCTACTTTGGAACCCATGTGGGAACACTGCAGGCAAAGTGTACCTTGTCCTGGGACTGCCCACCACCCAGCCCCCACTCACCTTCATGAGGTAGGACAGCAGGATAACGGGGAAGGAGTCCATGCAAGGGATGCAAGACTTGTGTCACACCTGATTCAAAGAAGCACTGCTTATGACAGATGTTTCTCTCCTAACACTGTGTCACCTCTAACTGCCTGGCTGCATGTCTGCCATCTGTTCTTCTTAGGTCACAGGAGGGACAGACATTACTGTCCACCTATCTGCATACAGAGCCATTGGAGGACGTTATCCTTGTTGCTTCCTCTTTGAAAAAGGGCAACATACACGGCAGATGCCATTCTCTGTCTCTTTGGAAAACTTTGCCACCACATTTAAGGTTTTCTTCAGCCACAGAAAGCCACCTGCTTCAAAGTCTCACCCTCCACAAGTGGCAAGCACACAATTATTAATGGAGGCAAGGGATGCATAGGTTTTGCCATTTGATTCAATTGGGACAAATAGGGGAGGTCTTCTTAGCTGAACAGCTCTGTCTGTGCGGCCAGTTGACAAAGTCAGGCTGCGTTGCCATTAGACTTGTCCCTTTGCACATAAGGCTTCCCTCCAATCCTTTCCACAGATGTGGATCCTGACATTACTTCCTAATAAACATCCTGCACACTAAACTTCATCTATATCCAGCTCTCTGGGAACCAAACCTGTGACAAAAGTGAAGTTTCTAGGGAAAATATGGTTTCCTTATCAGACAGGGATCAAATTCTGCTGAGCTAGAAAATAAGGTAAAGTCTGATGCCATCTCATGATTTTTTTTATTAGGACATTACCACTGCCAGCAAGAATTATGTGTATCAATTCATGGGGACAAAAATCATATTGGAGTGGGATGAGGTTGTTGTGAGTTGAGGAGAAATTTTGACGAATGAATTTTACCCTCAACTTGAGTTCAGGAGAGGAGATGAAGATGAAAACAGCTGGAAATAAAAGGTGTCCAAAAATATTTTTCTGGTTTTTCAAAAATCAAATTTCAGGTTGGGAGACACTATGTTTAAATTCTAAAAGGATGTAGCATACTGAGAGGAAATAACTATAGATAAATTGTCCTTTTTGTAAATAATACACTTCATGATATGACAGGAGACCAAGGGACACAACACAAATTTGGAGTTAAAGAAATGAACAGACATTCTCGATATTCAGCTGTTATGGCAGAGATGCCAGAATGATGGATGTCCATGTAGCAGTACTTTTTTTTTTTTTTTTTTTTTGAGACGGAATCTTGATCTGTAACCAGGCTGGGGTGCAATAGTGTGATCTCAGCTCACTGCAACCTCCGCCTCCTTGGTTCAAGAAATCCTCCTGCCTCAGCCTCCCAAGTAGCCAGGACTACAGGTGCGCACCACCACACTCAGCTAATTTTTGTATTTTTAGTAGAGATGGGGTTTCACCATGTTGGCTAGGATGGTCTCGATCTCCTGATCTTGTGATCTGCCCCCCTTGGCCTCCCAAAGGGTTGGGATTAGAGGTATGAGCCACTATGCCCAGCCCATGTAGCAGTACTTTTGAACTTAATGGCTGAAAGCATCCACCTCCAATTATTATATTTGCAAAAGAGTACAAACCATGTAATGAATTTTAAAGGGAAGACAAGCCTGTGGGAGCTCAACAGCCATGGCAATGTTTTGAACTTCTTTTTATTAAACACGTAAGAAGTAAGTGAAGTTCAAAACCTAACAGAATTGCCAGGAATTATTTGAAGAACTACCAAGATGACTTAGACACTATGAAATCCTTATGATACCCTCTGGTGGAGTTTCCTCCTGGAGCCAGTGATTTTAAGCCAGAGGCAAATGTCTCTGCAGGCATAAGAATTCGACCCAAATGTACTATTCAATTTTAAATGAGATGACAATAAAATTATCTGCTATATAGTAACAACTTTTTTTTTTTTTTCTTTCGGACAGAGTCTTTCTCTGTTGCCTAGGCTGGAGTGCAGTGGGGCACTCTTGGCTCACTGCAATCTCTGCCTCCTAGGTTCAAGTGATTTTCCCACCTCATCCTCCTAAGTAGCTGGGATTGTAAGCATGTGCCACCATGTCTGACTGATTTTTGTATCAGCAAAATTATTTCTGGGGTGGAGAGTTAGGGACCTTTATTCTCCCACATCCAAAAACGTGTTCTCCAAATGATCTGTCAATAGAAATAACTGATACCTATATTTGCTAACCTATCTTTTTCTTTCTTTAAATTCAGAACTAGAGTGTGGAAAAGTTATATTAAGAAGGTTCTCTCAATTTTCAACACAAGTGATGGGCTAGGCACTATTCTAGGTGCTACAGATACACATTCACATACCCACAATAGTTTTGCCTTATTACCTCCTACATTCTAATAATGCATCAAAAGAAAAGTATAGATTAGCTTTTTATTTTTTTGAGATGAAGGTTAATTCTGTCACCCAGGATGGAATGCAGAGGCAGGATCTCAGCTCACTGCAACCTCTGCCTCCTGCGTTCAAGCGATTCTCCTGCCTCAGCCTCCTGAGTAGCTGGGATTACAGGCATGTGCCACCATGCCCAGAAAATTTTTGTATTTTTCAGAAAGACAGCTTTCATTATGTTGGCCAGGCTGGTCTCAAACCCCTGACCTCAAGTGATCCATGCACCTCGACCTTCCAAAGT